CTCTTGCTTTTGCAGCTATTTTTTCCTGTGAAGGTTTCATTCTGGTGATAAACGTAACGCTGAGCATGGGGTCTCCAGAGAGCTCCCTCCACGTAAACGCCCTCAAACTTCCTCCCTGCAGCTCTTCTGTCTCTGTCTCTCTTTTAAGACACCGGAAAGTCTAAACAGAAGCTGTGTATTTTAGCAAGGAGACGCCTTCTCCTATTTTTAAGTCTGGTCCTGCTTTTCCATTTAAATGCAGTTATTTCTGTAACACAGGTGACAATTCAGGTCACTGGGGAGTGAGCGCTGTGTAACAGTGGGCCTGACTCTGCAGACGTCACAGCAGTCCCTGGCCACAGAGCCTGGATTAACACGTTAGCTTTAACAGTAAACTCCCCAGAGCTTCATATAAGGGAGACAGTCTGTAGCTTTGGAGATGACATTTTGGTGGACATTTTCCAGAGCTGCATGTCCGGCAGGAGCAGATCAGTCTCTCTCACCATGATATGTCCCTGAGGATTGAGCATGGTGAGCCCAGGGGAGACCATCCGGTCGCAGCATGCCATGGGGAAAGACATACGCGTTACTGGGCCTCTCTGGTGGAAAGCTCTCCCAGTCCACACAGTGAAGAGGACAATGTCCTTCGGCACTAGATGTTGGCAAGGGGAGCGTATGTTGTTATTTTCACCATGATTACTGTTTTTTTGTAGTTGTTGTTGTTAATTAGGGGTAAGGTATTATAGGTTGGCATGTCACTTTGTGGACAAAAATAAAAGGGCAAGGAAGGACTCTGTCCTGATGAGCTTACGGTTTACAGCAAAGACCATATAACCTGCACTGCACTTTAGAAGACACAACTGCTCAATCACTTACATACCCATGAATTTACCCTCTCCTGTGGTCGTCATTGCAGGAGTGACTCGCCTGGGCATTGGGACCTTGAGAACAGTGCCCCTTCAAGTAGTGGTAGCAGCCCCTCGCTCGGTGCCCCCCATCAGCACCATGCATGTGTCCCCCACTGATGGCCATGTCAGTGGTCCTCCTGCCCCTACACTGTAACTACGCAGAAGTGCCTGAGCAAAGCACGGGAGCAGCAGGGCCTCGTGACTGCCTGCCTGCCACCAATGTGAGGTTTGTGGCCCATGTTGCAGCGAGACTGGGTTCCCCAGGGAGACGTGCTGATTTTTTTTCTTCAAAGAGGCAGCTATTCCCCTGGATGGTCCTTTCCCCATTTACCCACACCCTGGACAGGGCAATTCTGATTCGTGATGACCATAGTACATCATCTATAGTGGCAGGAAACGTACCCGGGAATGGTACTGCGACTAGGTGTTAGGTATTAAAGCTGTCCCATGCAATTTGTTTGGTGCCCTGTAAGCTTATAGAAAAAGTTTTCCTTCAGGCATTTGCACATAAGCCTCGACTTTGATACGCTTCAGTCTTTTTGAGACCCAGAAGGTTTTCTTTTGGTGAATCTGATTGTCCTTTAACAAACTCCAGTTTTTTTAGGATCACTCACTCAGGCTTCACTTTCTCCAGGTGAAAATTGTACCTATGTTTTGCTGAGGACAAGTGGTCATGGATTCCAGTGGGTGGTTTGCCCCAAAGGCTTCAGTATACCACGCTCACAAACTGAATAGGAGGAGGCACACTGTGATCTGCCCTAAAGGGGTTGTTCTCTTGTGAGGGAAATTCTGGCTTTATCACAGGGACCGAAGGCTAAGGGAGACAGTGCAGCAGCACGGGCAAGAGGATGGGCTGTCACTTCAGGAAACATGCAGGTAAGACCCAGATGGCACGTGCTTGGCCAAGGCATCCCTTGAAAGCAGTGCTGATGTCCCATTGTCAGGACTAACCTCTTCGTCCTGCATTGGTACAGCCACAGAGGTCTGTGTAATGCTACCTGATGATAGATCAAAAATTCTTAGCCTTCCCCTTTCCACAGATATCTCTCCTAATGCGTATCTTCTCATGGATGGCTCACCAGCCAGCTTTCCAGAACAGCGACCATAGGTACCACAATAGCCTTTTGCTCTTAGCAGGACGGTGCATAAATCTGCTGAAGGCTCTTGTGTTTGGTGGCTTGTGATCCTTAGAGGGTGTGAAATGAATCCTCCACCTCACCTTTTCCATGGTTGCAGGCAACTTCAGGGGACAGGGTTGGCCCTGATGGGCCTTTCTGCCTTATGGTAACTCTGGCACTTCACTGTTTAAAAAATATTAAGACAGAACTGAGGAAACAAACTAGAAATAAAACAGTCTGGCAACTTGGATGGGCTGTCTGGTTATGCTCCTGCCATTCTGTACATCATCAAGTATCATCAAGTATGTAAAACCTGCTACAAAGAGATGAGGAGCGGGGGAATAATCTATTCTCCAGGTCTATGTTGCCCAAAACAACGTAGGATTAAATTGTGAAAGAAAAGAGTAAAATTAGATCTCAGGGAAAGCCTTCTAAAGGGAAGGACAGAGAAGCAGTGGAATAGGTTCTAGTCTCCGTTATGGCAAGTCTTGGAGAACTGGGTAGACGAACACCCGAGAGGAGCACTATCAGTCGCCCTGTGCTGGGCCGGGGGTGGTGGTGGTGCCCACAGGGGTCCCTTCTGGCCTGCTGTGTCCACAGTTCTAGGATTTTGCCTGATCCCCTTCCTTGGCTTGCAATGTTATTGCTTCCAAATCTACCCTGGTAGCTTGCAGCCTCAGTGTTGCCTATCAGACGCTGCTGTTTGATTCTGTGCTCCCTTAGACTTACTGCCCCTTTTCTGATTGTGCTGTGAGCCTCATATACAATAAGGATTAACTTTACTCCAGAATGAACACCTGAGAGGGAAAGATGTGAAGCAGCTGCAGGGAAGTGAACGTGTGTGGCTGTTCCTGAAGTGTTTCAATAGGAAGAAGGCAGGGGCTCCAGCAACCCATTCCTTAGAGACGGTTGATGGTCCACAGATTGCAGTTTGCAAACTGCTCTGTCAGGTTAAGGCCAACACCTTTGAAAACTATCCGTTGATTTGGGGTAGCTCCACTGAGGGGGTCCCTGTCCCAAAAGCTTACATATGATTTCCAGAAGGACCTAGCTGTTTGGTCTCCTTCAGCTGGAGCTGTGAGTCTCCAGCCTGAAGGAAAATCAGACCCAACATTCCTGTCCAGGTGGCCACCAAAAAATGGAGCAGCTGTCTCCATAACCACTTTCAAAAACTGGTTTATAAACAGTGGGGAAATAAGACTGGAACAAACAGCACATCAGACTATGACTCAACAGGTAGATTGGCCTCCTGCCATTTTAGGAAGTGCCTTCTCTCAGAAGGTCCAACCCCAGCTCATCGTTTTCAAATCCCGTTGGTTTTTACCTGTTATGTGTTCCTGATACTTCAGCTAGGAACATTTATCAAATAGAAAATCACTTGTTGTGAAAAAAGACTCCTAAAATTCTTATCCTAAAAGCAAAGTGGACTTTGAGCCTGAGGAAGTAGCTGTGATGTGCGTTGAGGACTTGCTGATTTCTGCTGAGGTGCTTTGAGCTTTGAGGATGAAAGGTGCTATTGCTATAAATCAGAGTTTGGAAATAGGGAATGTCTCAGCATTTATCCTTATACAAAGGTGAGCAAAATCCTTTATGTAGCCTGCATCTATATACATATTTCTCTTCTCCTGTGCTGCAGGAGTTTTCTTATACTGCAGGGAAGATATTTCCAGAGCACTTTACATGCAATTCGTATTCTGCTGATTGCAGGGACAAGCATTAAAAATTACTTGAAAAGCCAAAAAGTCATCTTTTCTAACCACACGGGACTCTTCACCAGGTTTGAGCGGCTGCTGCTTTGGAGAGGCTGGTCAGGAGCAGCGAGGGGGACACCAGGAAGGGTAGAAGTCAGATGGGTCCCTACTTTCGTGCTATGTTGCTTTTCAAAATAGGACTTGTGCGAGACAGACGTGGTGTTCAGGCTTGTGCTGGCTCAGCTCCACTTAGCGGCCGTCATGGGGACCCTGAGAGCAGCTCTTGGGGGAGCTCATGGCTTCCTGGAGGTTTGTTTCCTTGTTTGACAGCGATGTCCCAGGTAGTAGCAAGACTTGCGGGATATCTCCACTTCTTCAGGGCATTAAGGGGGCAGAGCTGAAGCTGAGGTTTCCTTGGTCCTAGCAGGGCTGAGTAAGACTGGATGAGCCACCTTTGCTGGATGGTTTCTCCCCGCGTGGATCCCCTTGGATCCAGAAGCTGGCAGTTTTAATAGCAGTTGTGACTCTCCACTGTGCTGGCACTGGTTTCTGAGCTGATGCTCTCTGGTGGAAAGCGGACGGGAAGGAGGTTGGCGAGCATGTGAGACCTGAGGGAAATGCAGAGGCAGGGAGCATGCGGTTTCAGGCAGGATGAGCAAACGGTGTGTCGCAGTAAGCCGCCTGCGCTCTCCATACCTTTGTTAAAGGGAAGAAAGTCCCAGGGTAGCGGGTAACGTATCCAAGTTCTCCCTCTTGCTCTTGTTGCATCTCCAGGGGTTGCTGCTAGCCCTCGTGCTGAGCCGCCCGGCACGCTCGTCCCGGCACAGAAGCTCAGCGCGGGCACTTGAGCTTTCCCGATAGCCCATCAGGGAATTCGAGTCAGGCTGTGAGTGTGGTGCAGGGGGGAGAAATCTGGTGCTCTCAGAGAGGCCCGGGTGGTGGTGCAGCTTCTGGTTAGCTCAGGCCTTGCAGATGTGGTGGTGCTGGAAGAGGCATCTTCAGCACAGTCCCTCAGTGTCTCCAAAGATCATACTGTTACAAGCATTGATCTCCCCCCTTCCCTCCCCCTAAAATATTTTTATACTGAAAATTTTCAGATTTACATTTAGTTCTGGCTAGTTTTTCACAAATGGACCTCTCTTTGTGTTGCCTTTCATCTCAGATTGAAGCAGAATAGAAAAAAAAAACCCAACAACAGCAAAGTGAATCCACTATTTTCTCTGAAATCTATTTTTTTGGAGTGTTTCAAGTCTGGTGGCTCCCCAACTT